TTTTTTTAAAGATTTTATTTATTTGTTAGAGAGAGAGAGAGAGAGCATGTGGGAGCACAGGCAGACAGAGTGTCAGGCAGAGGCAGAGGGAGAGGGAGAAGCAGGCTCCCTGCCGAGCAAGGAGCCCGATGTGGGACTTGATCCCAGGACTCTGGGATCATGACCTGAGCCGAAGGCAGCTGCTTAACCAACTGAGCCACCCAGGTGTCCCCCATAAGAGACTCTTAATCTCACAAAACAAACTGAGGGTTGCAGGGGGTGTGGGGAGTAGGGAGAGGGTGGTGGGCTTATGGACATTGGGGAGGGTATTGCTATGGTGAGTGCTGTGAAGTGTGTAAACCTGGTGATTCACAGACCTGTACCCCTGGGGCTAATAATACACTATATGTTAATTTTAAAAATAAAAAAAGAAAAAATAGAAATATATTTCTTCCTTAAAAGGTGTTCTATTAAAGGACACTATTAAGCAGCCAAAAGTATTTTATTTAAATGCAGAGAAATTAATTATCTTGATTTGAACAATTTAAAACCCTATAAGATCTATGTAATAAAGTGTTTGACCCATTTTTTTGTGTATGATATTTGATTGCTAACAGAGTTTAAGGCATAATGCTCTCCTAAACCCATCTGCTCAACATCTGGGCTAGATGACAAGAAAGCCTGGGTCCTCCAGCTGTAAGACAAGCAAGTTCTGGGGATGTGATGTACAGCATGGTAACTATAGTTAATAATACTGTCTTTCATATTTGAAAGCTGCTAAGAGTAGATCTTAAAAGATCTCATTATAAGAAAAAAAATTTTTGCAGCTATGTATGGTAAATGGATGTTAATTGGATTTGTGATGATCATTGTGCAATATGTATACATTTTGAATCATTATGTTGTACGCTGAAACTAATATAATTATATGTCAATTATATCTCCCTTCAAAGAAAAAAACAAGGAAGCAAACAAGTCTGGATCCTTCCTCCTTTGGTGACATTGAGACATTAAACTTCACAAGCATTTCAGACCAATGTAGAAGGCCTGCAGGGCTCTCTCTAGACAGGAAGGTCTTCATACAAGGAATAAAACTTTTTATACCCTCTAGTATGTGTGGCATTATCAGCCTCAACATCCAAGCCAAATTTTGAATAGAAACCCATCATATTTCTGCAGAGTGTTCTGTTTGATGCAGTGAGAGGGGCATGAGACAATGACCACCACCACACAAGGTCTTTCTTCTCTTGCTCTGGCTTACTCACTGGCTCTCTTTCCTGATGGCAAACATGAAGTCTGCATTCTTGACTGGGCTGCACTGTGATGAACTTCTTAAGCCCTTCCAATCTTTTCTTACAGATCTAAATTACCTAATTTGGAAATTTCAATAATTACTCGGCTGTTAGAGACAAGAAATGGGATTGGGTTTTTTCTTAATGTGGCTCTGGGTCTTGTGCCTTGGCCCAAACCTATCCATGTGTCTTCGAATGAAGCTGTGATGGACACTGGAGTCAGGGAAAGGCTTTTACCCCAATTGGTTGTGTGTTTCAACCAAGAATTGTCCTCTAAGGCTGTTCAGGGGAAACCCTGTGCAAGATCTAGGTCCATTAGGTGGTTGTTCATGAAACAATGTCATTGGAAGGGAAAGAGAGGGAAAAGTGGAGTAAGAAGAAGAGGGAGGAAAGGAGAAGGAGAAAAGCAGTCATTGTGTGTCTTGCTGAGGTCTGCATACCTA